TTGTAGATTTAAATTTCATTTGAAAACTCTTGCTCTCAAAGGTTTTCACTCCATTTATAAACTTGAAATATAGGTGTTCAGGGAAAGAAAAAGAAGAGGAATACTGCACATCAGCCTGAAAAAAATATTTCGTAGTACTTGAGGGCATTCATCACTAGTAAAAAAATTTTTCCTCCTCTGTGGTAACTGATGCTTCATCTAAAACATTAGTATTCTCTTTCAGGACCCATCTTTGGAGATGTCTGACATTTATTCCCCCTGCTTTTAGTATTAAGCAAATGGCCGGGCCCAAATCTTGCCCATGGGGCTGCAAACACATTCAGCCAAACAACCCCATTTCCATGTACCTGCATAAACCCCAGAACAGTGTATATGCATTTCTGAAAGCCTAGCTCTTCATAGCAGGCTATATCCCCATCCTGGGCTGTCATTTTCTGCAGACATAAACCTCACAGGGTGACAGAAGTGGTGGCAGCATTTTGGGACTCCAGGAGAAAACAGCTGTTGAAAGATGAATAGATGGGCTAAGACCATGCAATAGGTGCCTCCAAAGGATAGACTAAAATAATTTCAGTCTAGATCTGGACCTTAATATGTAGATAAAATAAATTGTTTTCCCTGTGCTCCTTTGGAATAGCTCCAGGATGGCTTTAGATTACTAATTGGCAAATATTTAAGCCCATTTCACAGAGAGCTCCAATATGTGTACAGAAACACACATAACATGTAAAAACATACTCTGAGTTAGTTTTTATGGCACCATTTACTAAAACAAACATCAGGTTATAAAATTGTAGTCAGATGCATTAACTCTGAGGCTATGCACTGGCAAAAGCAAATCCTTACGCGTGGAAGTATAAAGTGCTGTAGGAAGCTCTTATTTCATGTCCAAGAGGAATAGCGGATTAATGAATCTGGTTTTTGCCTCTAGAATTTGAACTTCTGTGTAACCATACACCAGACTCAACAGGTGCGAGTCATAAGGTCTCACTCTTGTGAATATTATAAAATCTTCACCATAGGCGTTCCACAACAGCAAAACACACCTCAGTGTAAGGATCTGCCTCTGCTTAACACTTCGGAGGAAGCTTTTGGTGAAAGAATAAGGCAATGGTGTGACTACAGCCACTGAGAAACTCGCTGCCCACACTAAGGGTGCTGCGGCTAACTCACTCACATGGGCTGCTGGGCTGCAGTAATTGACTGTGTCTATCCCGACAGCATTCCCTGCCCATGAGAAAGTTCACTTCTCAACTGCTGTACTGTTCCACCGAACAGCTGGCAATGAACAGCTCTGTGGGGCTAGTCAGCGTGTCGCAACTTCATCCCCTCAACTTCACTAGCACAGCTTGGTCAGCCCCTTTTTCTGTAAGGAAGTTATGGGTCCAACAGGCGCTTGTAGGAAGTAATAACTGGTAATTTAGCTCATGTGAGCTTCTCTGGAAACCCTAGCCAAAGTGGGTGTCCCCTTTGAATCCCAACTATTCCATTCATGTACATTGCAAACCCAGAAGATGGAAACACCAAGAAAAACCACTTTATTATGTTTGCTTGCTATAAAATATTAGAACTTTGCACGCAGTAGTTCACTTGTGAGTTGTGACATCTGGCAGCCCCCCAGAAGCCCCAGTTGTTCACTAACTCCGTGAGCCAGATGCTCAGCCCTGGAGACCAACAATCTGTCTGATTCCCAGAGCCCATCTCTTTAGCCTAAATTTTTTTTCAAAGAAAGAAGAGTGTAATAACTTAGAAAACACTCAGGTAAAAATTTTACATTCATTCCATCCACCCAACTGGACTTCTGCTCCTGTCTCTATTTTAATTCTTGTCTAGTTACTGCTTGCTTTTTGACGATCTTTAAAATAGGGTACAATGTCAGCGTAGATTAAAGGTTGTGAGTAAAACATAGATTTGTTTCCAAATTACCTGTAGATCTACTAAAGTGACCTGCAAGGTCTCTGGAGGATTCAATCTCTGACACTATTTTTAGACCGTTTTGCTGAAATTACCCAATGGCTTCTAATAACAGCAAGAAACAATGGCAGTTTTTGCAACGTAGACATCTCTGGTGGGATCTTTGCCTCCACCCTTCACCATCTAATACTTAAACCTTCAGTCACATGGGATCCTTCTGCAGTCATTGGAGAAAAACAGACAATTCGTATTCACTTAAACGGGAGGACCCTGGAGCCATCTATGTGCTTACAGCAGCTATAGCCTAGTTTGATGTCCTAGGTGGCTAAAATTAGGTGATGTATTTCATATGTCACTTGAGCGCTGGGAACAAAAATGCCCTGGCACTAGGTACTGTGCTGGAAAGATATCACTGCTGTGAATTCTATATTGTTGAAGGTGACAACGGAAAAAAAGGTTGACTGAGTTCAGGTTAGGAAGATGCAGGTGTCTGCTCGAGCCTCTGCACAATAAGAACCTTGTACCACACTCTTCATGGTGCCAATCAGCACATGCAACTGAGCTCTGCCATGAGGCAGGGCAAAAGCTCTTTATTTCATTGCATACATATGCATCTGCTGCATTGTATCATTGATATAATGATCATCTACGCTTCCAAAAGGCCACTGCGTAGGTATTTTGCAAATCCAAAGAGCTTGCTTGTTCTTACTCTCTCTAGGAGAATAATAACGGACTTACCTACTTCTATTCATTAAATCAGACCTTGTTCTTAGCACAGTGAAGAACATTCCCCATTGGATACACTTGCTCTTGTGCTGAGACCCTGTCAGCTCACTTGCAGCCTAAAGCAAAATGTTCTGGCTGGGTTTATAAGCTCCTCAATATACGGGGTTTAAATGGAAATTGGGATTTTGCCTTTACTATGACAGCCTGGCTGCACTGTAATAAGACATTCTACTCTACCAAACTAGTGAACATGCCCTCTAGCAATATGAAATGACCAGTTTCCTGTTGACAGACAAATCTCATGACTTGATAGAACTCTGTGGTATGTTGCTCCAGTGATTTTTTTTTATAGGAAAATAATTAATTCTCAGTGACTGACATTGTTCTACTGTTACCCTGTCATTGACATCCCAAGTTACACCATATCCCACAAATTACACATCCCTTTATGCTGCTGATGCTTTCTACTCTCCCTTCTGTAGTATGATACTCATTATAATCTGCCATCTCATACTAAGGCTAAGACTTCTGCTGTATTTCCAGGTAATATATTTTGCTCCTGAGTGATCCATTGGGGAGCGGAGATGAAAGGAAAAGGAAAAGCCTTTGAGAGGAAGAATACCCAAGCTTCGTATTTCTGAGTATCTGAAACAGCTCCAAAATTCCTTGCTGTTCTGGAGGTCTGTCTTTGCATGATGAAAGCACTGGGCTTTTGTATTGTTTTCTTTATTTTGCAATATTTTATGATTCTCATATATTCTGGGTTGTGTTGATTTGTGACTAGTTTTTCATCATTACCCCGGGAGGAATTTTCTCTGAAAACACAGGGAAGAAAGAACGCCCTGATGCGAGACAGGCATCAGATGACAGATTCTCCTATTTACCCCATTCTTGCAGAACACTGAGGCCTCTAGTATCTGAGCACCTCCTTGACTGATACCATGAAAATAAAAAGATCTTTCTTCTCCCTCTGTTCTCCCCTTCCCATTAACCCTCAGCAACAGCTGTGCAGGCTATAGCTCAGTGAGGAAGGGCCATAGGCTTCTGTCATCAGGGATGAAGGCCCTGTGGTTAAGGAAATAACCATGGATGCAAAAGATACTGATTCAATTCAAAACTCTAACACATTTTTTGGGCAAACTGTCTAGTGAGAGACCACCTAACACCTCTTGATTCATAATGAAGGCAACAGAAGACACAGATTTTAACCTTATTAAAAAAATCAGTCTATTAATATCTCAGGTGCAATCTGTGAAATGAGGATATTAGTATCTCCTGCTCACAGGCAATAATTGATGCACGCAAGCACAGAAGACACTCTGAGGAAATAGAAGCTGTAGAAGTATATAAGAATGATGACTTCATTTCTTTACTCTGGAGTTATTCTTGATTTACAAAGATATAAATGAGACCAATTTATTGTCATGCTTATTTGAATGTACCTTCACAGAAACAGTGATTTTCTGAGCACTAGAATTCAGGGAATTGATTTCCCATGGATTGTATCTCCATGGGAGTAGCCTGTCTGGTCCTCTATTAAACACTGAATTCATGATGCAGCTTTTCTCTCAATTGGGTCACTAATAGGATTTCTCTTCTTTACCCAGCCACCTACATTCATTAACTATGTTGAGGTTATTCTCTATGTCCTTCTAACAGGCCAAACTAAGACTTATTTCCACTAAGAGACTGCCTTCCTTCATTTAAAATGCTCACTGATATCTTCAGTTGCTACAGCAGAAAGAGCACAGAGTCTAATACAATTTATTCTCAGGCCAGATTTACTTATATTGGAACAAAACTATTATTTGCTTCCAGTTCTGATTTCCCAAAAGACTTTTGTCATTTCAAATTCTGTTTGTGTGTCTCAAATTATACCAACATCAAATCAGCATAAGCTAAGTGAGAATCAATTAATGGAGATTTAATCTATATAATCTAAAATTTTGTTTACCAAAATCTTGGCTTCGTGATACAACATCAGGGTAGAACTGAAGTATTTTCATTACAGCTGGTAGAACTACTCCAAATATACAAGCAAAGTAAAAGCAAAACATTAAGCATATCCTCATCTAGGAAAAGTGAGGAAAATCCTGGCTTTGCTAAAGTCAATAACAACTTGATAATTGATTATAGAAGGCAATAATTGAATCATAAGGTTTTAAAGGAACAGAAGGGAGTGATTCTACCAGTTTAAAATGTTCCCACATCCTTTGTTTTTCCATAAAAGAAAAAAGGAAACAAAATCTAACTTTCATTAGAAAATAGTTGAGGTTATAACTCTTAGGAAATTTTCTTTCAACAAAAGACAATATCTGCTCCTTCCAGAAATTAAATTTTCTTTTGAAAATGCATTTCGCTGGAAAATGCCCTACCCACCCAGCTCTCGCCTCGATGTATAAGGGCATCTATTGAAAACATGACTTATGCAGCTGGACCACTTTTCTTGCCCAGAGCTGTGCTCCAAACTAAGGGATTGTGCATGAGGCTGAGAACCCCATGTGGTCAAGCTATTTGCAAAATTGGGATCTTAGCTGGTTTTGTGAGGTTCTCATTTATATAAGCACCTGAAAAGCTATGTGACAGTCTTTAAATCCTTTGCTCAGTTTAGGCACGTAATTTCAAATGGAAGAAGAGGAGCAAAGAAACAGAATTTATGTGGATTCGACATGATAGAAAGGAATCAAGGTAAACCACATTTTATAAACCTCTCTGTCCATCAACACGAACTGCTTTCCCTTTTTATTGCCTCCTGTCCTTCCTTTACACAGAAAACTCCTTGGCAATATGTTCAGATTTTAAGCTATTTGCATGTAGGGAGAGCTCTGCATTTTTTCAGGGTGCTCCACCTCTTTCCTGGAGTCCTGCCTGGAAGAAAGAGAGAGGAGAATGGATCTAGGAATCCATCCAGCTGTGTATTTTTCATTAGATAATGTTGGAAATTTTTCATCCTGAGAATGTGCTTTTCTCAGTCAGTCTGCTCAGGACTGAGAATAGGTGCCATGCCCATAGGGGAAAATCAGTGCATTATGCAGAAACCCTAGTCTAAAAAAATATACCTCCTAAACTCCACACCACCCATAGCCCCTTTTAATAGAAATAACAGTCCAGTTCTTACACAAATCCATCCAGAGGCAACAAAGATCCTCAGGCCCAATTTGCCAAAGATGTTTCCCTTGGTTGTTTTCATAGTCCTGTGCTTGATTTCCCAGCTCTGTTTATGTTAAACAGAGGCATCTTAGACTTGTAACTTAGTCACTTAAACAGAGACAGAATTTGCAGGAAGCTTCCTGAATGCTGCCATCGAGCAAAGTCCACCCAACACCCTGGTACAGTTCATTAGGAATCACCTATAGCAGAAATATAGAAACAGATTCTTAGTGTTCAATCCAAATACAGGACACTGCTGAAGAGAACAATGAATATTTGTGTTTATGAGGAAAAGAAATTGAGAAAAGCTGGGTTGCTGGCCTCAGTCCACGACTTTCCTCCACATTAAATGTTTGCCCAGGCTTCATCGTGCCCCTGCATACTGTACTAGCACAAGGTTGTTATTGTTAACCCACACAGGAATTCACTGGAAGACTCTAGTGTATCATATAGCACATAAAATCTTCACAGGGTTACTATATCAATAGGATGGACACTAGCATTCATTATTGCATGTTCTGGGGAGTAAGATGATGCTTCAGAGAGACTAATAAGTCATCTTGAGTTAAGTTACTTGAGTTAATACCATTACAGTTTTCCCTGCAGAAGTGATAATGAGACAAATTTTACATTTCACATCCAGCAAGATCCACTTCCCTGCAAGAAACAAAACCAACTCCACTGTTTATCTTCATTTAGGGTGGTGAGATATGTTCAGGGTCCTGTACAAGATGATGAATGTCCAGAGCTGGCAGTGAGGCAAAGGGGAGATGAAGATGCTCAGCTCCTCGCTGACAACTAAATGGGTTTCTGCCTGGTCATGACTGCCAGGCTGCAATATCAGCTCCTTGGTGGGGCTTGAGAGGGTCACTTTGTAATTAAGGAGATCTTCTAAAAACAGCCAGCCTGCACAAGACCGATATACCAAGATTACCTGTTTCTAGAAACGCTCATCCGAAGATGCTCAGGGAAGAGTGACCAGGAATGAGAAAATATTTATGCATACAAAGAAAATCTTTCCCAGATATGCCTATAGTTCTATTTCCGTGTTGTGAAGATGGTATTCTGTCCAGTTTTAAATTTGCTCTAGGTTCTGGGAAGAAGGCAACTCCCTACAGAGAAATTACAGCATTTTTCTTGCCTTTCACCTACATTGCGTATTTGAATCTCATCCTGCATTGCTCAAAAATTTGTCCCCAGCGCAGGCAACACAGACAAATAATATCACCTTAGAGAAGAGAAAGTGAATGAAGGACAAAAATGTCCTTCCATTTGTCTTCTGCATGCTGGATTTTACTGCAGATTTATTAATGTCTGAACAAAATCATTAGCATTCCTTTAAATGCCCAACTCCCCAGCCAAAACCAAAATTAATTTGATAGATTCTCCGTGACTCTAAGTTATTAGGTGAGTGCAGAAAATGTTCATAAACAGGAAGGACCTTGACTGTGCAATCTGAAAATCACCATTATAATAAATTTAAGAGTTATAATTTGTGTTTGCAAGTTTTGCCCTGTTCCTTCTTCCAAAGAGATTTTGGAATCTCCTAGTAAGTTTTTCCATGATTGCAAAAACTTTTGGGTGACTGAGCAGTGTCTTCTGAAATATTCTTTACCAAATAGCTTTAACAGTGAACATTAGACGAAAATCAGGAGCAGCAGTGGTTTTTATTGTCACTTTAGGACTCCACAGAATCACAGAATGCTTGAGTTTGGACTAGAGGATCTCTAGAGATCTAACACCCTTGCTGCCCCCATCACTCCCATAGGGTGCTACAGTTTGGTTCAGATATTCATGGTAATATTCTAATCAACAATACCAGTGGATTTGCTTTCTAAGAAAACTGTCATTTACATGATAATGTTTTCTTTTGGGGAGAAACTACAAAAAAGTGCTGAAGAGACAAAAAGATCTCTGTGCTACAAGGACATATATGTATGAAAACTGAGTCAGAAATCACTTACCATGATTACAGCTGTCAGAAGTGCTGTGTTTCCAGCTGTAAAATTGGGTTATCATTTTTTTATTATGATGGTCTGACTGTAAATCTGACATGGTAACCCACATACATATCCCTCAATTCTCCCATTTCCATGTTAATAAGAACAGAATTTAGCCCACTGAATGACGGGAGTTTACTTCAACAAGGACCAAAAATTTGGGACCAATATCACAGAGAGATCTGAGGGAAAAAAACAGTGAAGTGCTAAGGTATGAGACCGTTGTCTCAGATCTAATCCTCAGATATATTCCTCAGGGATTTAAAACCATAAAACCAAGTTGTGGTATGTAGCCATATACATTAAGATTATTCTAGAATCATTTTAAGTAGTATTCTTTTGTTCACTCTTTTTATAATAGCCTTGGCAATAGCATCTATATGTCTCATGCAGCATAATTTTGCAGACCCTATTTTGCCTTGTTACAACAATGAGAAAATGTAAATATTTCTTTTACAGAAGTCACACTGTCTCTGTCTCAACATGGCTTGCAGACTTGAGTTGCTTGTAAAATTGTGCAACATTTTCACACAGAGGATGAAAGTGAAAAATCTTTGTTGGTGTCAAGAGCACATCAAATTAATTTTCTTCAAGATTTTTTGTCCTTTCTTTAACAGTTAATAAGTTTGCTACTTTCCTTTAGTGAAGCAAAATATTTCGCAACTCAGTCTCAGCAGCTGAGTGCCACCCTTAATTCCCACAATCCACAGAAGATCTATTGGCTTGGGTGAATTTCTTCCTGTACAACCAATTCACATGACTTTCAGGTACATACAAAGCCTGTGAAGTGGTAAGTGAAGTTCTGAGTGATGGTGGCAGGGGATGGGACAGAGCCAGTTGAGCCAGCCTCGTTCTTTCCTGTGTTCCTGCTCACACCATGAGCAACTAACCAGCCAGCTGCATCGAGCTGGGATCCCCAAACCCACATGAGCTTGTTTGCTCCAGGAGTTCCTTGAAATTCACAGCAGACTTCAGAGACAAAATAGAAAAAATGAGTCCACTGACTTATTGTAGGAGGATGATTAATTGTTCCAGGATTGCAGTCATGATTACTGAGCTTTCATCTCAGGTGACGCTAATTAGGTTGTTCATTCCTCTGCATGCTTACATGATATTAGAGCAAATTTATTGCCACAGAGCTGGGGAGGCTGCAAAGTCCCTCCGTTTATCATCACCAACCAAAAAGCCTCAAAAGCTACTTATCAAATGCCTAACTTATTGAGGTAAGGCGAAATTTGTATATCTCATTCTTGAAGCCCAAGGTCTCTGTTTAGGACAAAGTTTGTAATTTGGATTAGGACTATAGTCCTACCTGTTTCTCCAGTTCTTAGAGCACATTCATGAATATTGAGATGCACAGATTGCTGCAGTACAGAAATCAGTTACCACCATCACTGGCCCCCCATGCTTTTTGAAAAGGATTTGGTCTAAAAACTCCACACAGGCCATTTGGGGACAAAATAGTCATCTCATTACTGCTTTGCAACAACACACAGGAATGCTAATAGAAAAGGGAAACATCCAAATGATTTATGTAAGCTACCACCATAGGTATCACTACAGCAGATTTAAGGTTGTATTCCAGCTACCTTGGGTCACTAAAAGCCATGAACAAGGCCCAAGACACCAAGAAGTTCATGTCACCTTGCCTTCCTTATGGCTGGTACCAACTAGCAAGGTTAAAACTGCAGGCACTCCTCCAGCTCATAGAATCAGCATGGTTGGAAAAGACCTTTAGGATCACCAAGTCCAACCATACACACAAACAAGAAACAAATACAGTCTACATACAGCATGGCAGAGTCACAGGTCCTTTTTCATTGGAGTGCTGGGGAAAGGCTGGGCAAAGCCACAGCAAGCGTTGATGCAGCACCACTGTGCATGATGCTGGAGCAGAAACGTGTGGCAGGTTTGTATGGGATCCAAGGGAACAGATAATTAATGCTGCTGCTCTCCAAAGGCCTTGGGGTGATGACGAGGCAGGTACATGGTCCCTGCTCCAACCTGCAAGCTCAAGCAGCAGCCCAGAGGACCGCCAGGTTGCTACAAGCCCTGACTTAGGTAGCAAAGGGCTGCTCCCTGCCTCACATTAACACAGGAGCAGAGCAAAGCAAAGCATGCAGATCTGGGACTAAGGACACAAATTGGCTGCAACTGCTTATTCAACATAAATCTTTCTCACCCTGGGAGAACTCTGGTTTTCTGAATATAAGCCCTATCCTAATGGCACATGGAATGAATTAACTTGCAGCCATGACCTACATTAGGATCAGAAAAGACTATTCTAATAAAAATAAAAAAAACAAAAACTTGAGAGTTGATGTTGTCAAAACACTGAGCTGTTGTGCGCAGCCTTTAGGATGATCCCCTGCAGCAAAAGCTTCAGCGTATTCAACAACAGAGCAAGTCTGATAATAGTTTTCCAGCACTCACGCCTTCGGCTCCCTGGGAAGAAGGGCCATTCCTCAATCATTAGCCTCATTTGGTCTAGCAGGACAAACATGGACAAGAACAAAACCAAGGAACTTCAGGAGCAGAAACATTTCCCAGAGAAATGTAGTGGGTGGGAAACATCCAGGGCCCCCAGCATACTCGCATCAAACCAAGGAGATAACCCAGTACTGGGTACATTCAAACTAGTTTAGAAATTGCTTTAGCCATTTTGAATCAGGTGTGGCATATTGAGTCCCAAGTGCAGGAAGAAATTCAGAACCTTTGTTTTCCCTCAGTTTTTTTCCAGTCTCAGACCATTTTCAGCTAAATACAACAGGGCTCTGTTTGCTTATTGCCCCTGTACCCCCAATTCAGTTGTACCTTGTATGTGGAAATTAGCCTCTTGAGAGGCTTTACAGAACTCTCATGATAATAAGCAATCATATCCTCTCCCTGTCACTTCATCCTGCTTTTTCTCTGGCAGTTGAAGGGAAAATATCAATTCGTAAGCAAACAACCTTTGCCAATGAACTTAAATATCAAGTCACAATTAGGAAGCTGCAGCTGACAACACAGATGCAGCAAAGTTTGACAAGACTGACAACCCCAAAGTAGCACTGCAAAATGTCAGGAGACATTATCAACTGTTATTGGCCCGGGGCTTTCCCAGGGAACCCAGCCAAGGAAGCAGGAGAGCACACTATGGCTGTGACTGGGTAGCAAGCAGCTTCAGACAGTGCAAGAGACCCAGAG